AACAGGCACTTTCTACAAAAATACTGTATACCACAGAAAGAAACGGGAATTTCAATGTTCACTGGATTAAATCAGCCAATAGAAGGGCATTTGAAAGAGAGAAAGAGTTGTATGAAAAACCACTACTCTTTGGAGTATTGGAATTGCTGTATATAATACATAGTTTACTATGGTGAGATTCCTGTTGGCCAGTTCATAGTTCTGAGTTAGGACTCGAGCCTGGAACATTCTCTGAAAGTCTATATGAAAGGACCTTGCCTAAGTTTTATGTTCGATGTTCTGTCTGATTGTCCCTGGGCCCCAATATGATGCTATTGAGGTGCCTGCATTAAATGTGTTGATGTGGTCAGGTTGCCGGGGTGGGAGCCACTGTGACAACTTTCGTGTACTAATGTTGTTGAGCATGAACCCAGAGCATTTCCAGGCTAGCATTCTGAACAAAAGCCATCAGATTCTTACTCTGAAACTGAAAGAACATTTAGACAAAGCATGTGTCTTTAATAAGACATGGCTAAGACTTATCAAGCACACATGTAGCATGACATTCACTATTCTAGATAGTTGTCACTTTTATTGTGTAGCTGAATACTACTGTTTTTGCAGTTTCAGGAGAACAGTGAGTCACAGGATGAGTTAGAACATGCTGAGGTTATGCAGACAATGAAAGGCTGGGTTTTACACACCTTCCCTGTTTGGGTTTGATTTTTCTGTTACCATGATAAAATACTGACCAATAAAAACCTGGGGGAGGAGGGGCTTATCCAGCTTCTGGGTTTTGAGCATCATGGATGGAAGCCAGGCAGGAACTTGAGGCAGGAACTAAAGCAGAGCCCACATAGGAATGATGCTCACTGACTTGCTCCCTCTGGCTTACTCAGCTACCTTTCTTATACATCCCAAGCCCACCCGCCTATGGATATAGCACCCTGAGTGGCGAGGCTCCCCTCCATTAATCATTAATTGAGAAAATCCCCCCACAGACATCTAGTAGAGGCATTTTCTCCATGGATAGCTCCTCTCACAGGTGTGTCAAGTTGACAACGATGCTAACTATGACAGTTTCCCACTCACTTACTCGATTGTTTACCCCTAGAAAAATACAAAGGAAAGGAACAAAGGCAGATATGAACAATGTAGGAAACACAGTAAAAGAGAATTACCCTCTGTAGCTCCTCATAGGACATTAGTAGAAAATTCTCTGTGTCTCTCCTGGTTAACCATCCAAGTGTGTGATCAAACCAGGATCCAAAAATCACTACAGAGATAGGGGAGAAAAAGGAAATTATTACTGAACTTTGCACCTCATGAATATTCCTGATTGGAGGATGGCATTTACTTTGAGGAAGGTAAGGGATGTCAAGTTTCTATATCTAGAGGTCTATAACACAATTATGACATTGAGAAAGCTCACATTTTTTAGAGGAAAAAATCATGCATGCTTACTACCTACATATTTAAAAGGAGTTTTAAACCTTATTTAATGTGTATGAATGTTTGCTGATATGTATGTATATGCATCACATGGGTGCAGTGTTCGCAGAGACCAGAAGAGGGCATAGTATCTCTTGGAAGCAGAATTACAGATGGTTTTAAGCCATCATATGGGTGCAGAACTGAATCTGG